ATATAAACCCTGCATTACCCATAATGAGGAACATACCATAATTCCCGTAGCTCAGGGTCCTTGAGGTAATGCAGGATTTTGATCATAAAAAGTTTTTTGGGGTTTAGCCAGTAGCTCCAAGTACCTAAGGATCGGCTCCTTCGGACCCGTAGGATTCGGGCTCAGAGGGGTCTAGCAAGTTGTGTTTAGGGTTTAGGAAGTTTAGGGTTTAGGAAGTTTAGGGTTTAGGGTTTAGGGCTTAGGCGCCTTTCTTCAAGAGTTAGGGTTTCAGGCTTCTGGGATCAGGATGCAATAAGAAGGAAACACATGGACAAACCAGGAAATAAGTAATGAATCCAAATTCAACAAGCTATTTTGCACACATAGGCAAAAACAAAATCCAAGAATCCTACTGGAGTCCTTAACCTTAAACCCCCGAAAACCCTTAAAACCCTTAAAGCCCTAAATCCCGATACCCCAAAACTCACCTTAAAACCTGAAGCCCTTATTAATTAAACTATACAGAACTTGGTACCATAGCAAGAAGGTAAAACATCAATTAGCTATTTCTTAAGGATGAAAGCAACCAGAAAACACACTTCCAAGGACCCCTAAGAAGAACCCTAAACCCTAAACCCCCAACTCTTCGACCCTAAACCCTAAACTAGGACCCTCGAGGATCCGAGGCGCGGAGTATCCAAGTCCACTGCTGCGAAGGAGGCACCCAAGGAGTCGCCCTCCTGTCGGAACCTCGGGGCGTTCGGGTTTAGGGTTTAGGGTGTGTACCGCTGGTCTTTGGCTCTAAAGCTTTCGAGCTTTGTTTAAAGGTGTTCGGGTTTCACGGCTTAAGATTTTAAGGGTTTCGGGGTTTTTAAGGTGTGGGGCAAGCTTGAAGGTTTTAGGTCTTCGTAGAGTCGCCATAAGGGAACTCAGGTGGTTTGGGGTATTGCAACTATAGACTATAGAGGGTCGAGCAGCGAAGCTAACGGTCATAAGCAGTGTGAAGGCATTCTTCGCGCGTTTGGAGTCGCGAAACAAAATCAAAGCCAAAGCAGCAGACGTGCTTTT